GTAAGAAATTATTTACTTCTCATCACAGATTCTGCAGCCTTGGCACAAAAAGAAAAGGGAAGAACACGAAATAATGAAACATATTTTATCAGATATTTTTCAACATGTCGAAAACACTACTGTAAGAACTCTGTACACAGAAGATGGGAAACCGAATATTTCTGCTATTAGAAAGTGAGTAACTGTTATTAATGATTGTCTATGTTACTCGGACTCTTTAAAAATGCCGTCAACTGCATGTCGGATCCTCCAAAAGTAGTGCAGTTTGAGAAAAACCCGATACGTACAGATGGATGTTGAGTAGGCTGAACAACATAGATGATCAGTAGGCTGAACAAATGGCATATTAAGATTAGCACAATTGTGGCAGAAAATCAATCAGCGTTTATCCAAGGCAGGTCTATGGTCCACAACATATTGATATGTCATGACTTGATGCGACATTACGGGAGGAAAACCACACCAAGATGTTTGATGAAAATAGATTTAAGAAAGGCCTATTGTTAGCATGAGGGAAAACTATTGTATATATTAATGTAATTATATAGTGATATAAATTAGCATGATCATATACATTTATTGTAGAATCAACAGAATAAATATTGTGATAGAATAGTTGATTTGGAGGGATAGCAAGGCAGAAAATTGACATGGTATTAGAGATTTCTCTTGGATGTCTTGTTTCATAGAGTCATCTGTGGTTCCTTCTAAATTTGTTTTTGAAAATCTTGGTTTTTGGTTGACTGTTCATCGACAATCAGTCTTACCACCTGGGAATTTTGTTCTTGGTCATTCTAGTTGCTTTCTTGAGTCTTTGTAGTTTTCATAGCTATTCAAAAACATGAATTCACATCACTTTGAATCCTTTGGTGTTCGTTTCACTGAAAAAATTATTCTTCTTGGGAGTTTCAGTTTCAATTATTTGTCACCGGCAAAGAACTATGGGGCCATATAGATGGAAGCGATCCTGCTCCTACTGATGCAACAAAGCTAGGTGAATGGAAGATTAAAGATGCTAGGGTGATGACATGGATTCTAGGTTCAATTGACCCTCTTATTGTTCTTAATCTCACGCCGTACAAGACAACTAAGGTCATGTGGGATTACTTACAAAAGGTTTACAACCAAGATAATAGCGCAAGACGCTTTCAGTTAGAGTATGAAATTGCTAATTACTCTCAAGGAGGTCTTTCTGTTCAGGATTATTTTTCTGAATTTCAGAACTTATGGGATGAATTTACAGATATTGTCTATGTCAAAATACCTACTGAATCTCTATCAGTGATTCAGGCAGTTCATGAGCAAAGCAGTGAGACCATTTTTTGATGAAATTACGATCCAACTTTGAGAGTGTTCTCTCTAACTTGATGAATCGTGACATGTCTCCCTCTTTGGATGTTTTCTTTAGGGAATTACTTCGTGAAGAGCAACATCTTGTCACACAAAATTCTTTCAAGAAAGAAAATGATGTCACTGTTGCATTTGCTGCTCAAGGTAAAGGAAAGGGCAGGGATATGAGTAGAACTCAATGCTACAGTTGCAAGGAATATGGTCATATTGCTAGCAATTGTAACAAGAAGTTCTGTAATTATTGTAAACAACAAAGACACATTATCAAAGAGTGTCCCACGCGCCCTCAAAATCGTAGGATCAATGCTTTTCAAGATGAAATAAATGGTTCCACTAATGATAACTCATCTTCAGGACAAGTTCTTACTCCTGAAATGGTACAACAAATGATTGTGTCATCCTTTTCAGCATTGGGATTACAAGGTAATGATGTTACATCTATTTTTTGGATTGTTAATCCAGGTGCTTCCAATCATATGACCAACTCAACGATCATCCTAAAAAATGTTCGTAAGTATCAAGGTCTATCACAAACAGATTGCCAATGGTAGTAATTTACCCATTACCAAGATTAAGGACATTACTCCAACTTTCAAGAATGTTTTTGTTTCACCAAAGCTCTCAACTAGTCTTATTTCAGTTGGACAACTGGTAGATAACAATTGTGATGTGAATTTTTCTCGTAATGATTGTCTTGTGCAAGATTAGGTGTTGGGGACAATAATCACGAAGGGGCCTAAAGTTGGACGATTGTTTCCTATACACTTTTCCATTCCTCATGTTCTATCTTTTGCTTGTACTTCTACTGCTAGTAAGACTGAGGTTTGGCATAAGCGTCTACGACAGCCAAATTCTGTTGTGTTGTCTCATTTATCAAATTCTGGTTTATTGGGAAATAAAAATCAATTTTCAGCTGCTTCCATTGATTGTTATACTTGTAAATTAGGCAAAAGTAAAACTCTTTCTTTTCCTAATTTTGGTAGTCGTGCTACAAAGTGTTTTGATGTCATTCATAGTGATGTTTGGGCAATTTCACCAATTATTTCTCATGCTCATTTCAAATACTTTGTGACAATCATAGATGATTATAGTCGGTTTACATGGGTGTATTTTCTTCGATCCAAATCTGAGGTATTTTCCAAGTTCAAGACATTTTTGGCTTACATTGAGACTCAATTTTCTACATGCATCAAATTATTAAGATCTGATTCTAGCGGAGAATATGTGTCTTATGAATTCAAAAAATTCTTGCTTGACAAAGGAATTGTCTCACAACACTCTTGCCCATATACACCACAACAAAATGGAGTTGTTGAACGAAAAAATTGCCATCTTTTAGATGTCAATCGTACTTTATTGAATGAGTCCTTTGTACCATCTAAATAGTGGGTGGAAGTTTTGTCTACTGCTGTCTATTTAATTAATAGATTGTCATCTAAAGTGCTAAATCTTGAGTCTCCATATTTTTGTCTTTATCACCAAAATCCTAACTATAGTGATTTTCATACATTTGGTTGTGTTTGTTTTGTGCATTTTCCTCCTTCGCAGCGCAATAAACTTTATGTACAGTCTACTAAATGTGTTTTTATGGGTTATAGTACTTCACAAAAAGGTTTTATTTGCTATGATCCATGTTCTCACAAATTTCGTATTTCTAGAAATGTTGTTTTCTTTGAGAAACAATATTTCTTTCCTACGATTGTAGATTCATCTTCTGCTTCTCCTCTTCTTCATACTTTTGAGGATTTATCATCTTCTTTTAAGAGATTCAAACCTGGATTTGTGTATGAACGACGTCGGCCAACTTTATCCGCCACCTGAAACTGTACCACAACTAGAATATGAGAATTCTTCAAGATCTGGTCAACTTGAGCCTACTTGGCGATCTACCAGAGTATCTCGTACGACCAATTGGTATGGCTTTTCCTCTATTTTATCCAACATATTTGTTCCATCTTATTACTCACAAGCTTCCAAGCATGAATGTTGGCAGAAAGCAATGGAGGAAGAACTTTTGGCTCTTAAAGAAAATGACACATGGGACATTGTTTCATGTCCTTCAAATGCCCACCCTATTAGATGTAATAGGTTTATTCAATCAAACTTCATTCTGATGGAACTCTTGATCGTTACAAAGCTCGATTGGTTGTTCTTAGTAACAAACAAGGGTATGGGGTGGACTATGAGGAGACTTTTGCACCCGTAGCCAAAATGACTACGGTGAGAACTACCATTGCCATTGCTACTTCACAAAACTGGTCTCTTTATCAAATGGATGTCAAAATGATTTTCTCCATAGTGATCTTAAAGAAGATATTTATATGAAACCTCCACCTGGTTTGTTCTCATCGTCTACATCAGATGTATGCAAGTTGAAGCGGCCTTTGTATGGATTAAAACAAGCTCCAAGAGCTTGATTTGATAAGTTCCGGTCTACTTTGCTACAATTTTCTTTTGAGCAGAGCAAATATGATTCATCTTTGTTTCTTCGGAAAACATCTACAGGTTGTGTTCTTCTTTTGGTGTATATAGATGACATTATTATCACAGGAACTATTCTTCACTAATCACTAGCCTCCAACAACAACTTAAAGATTCTTTTCATATGAAAGATCTTGGTACTCTTACTTATGTTTTGGGTTTGGAAGTTCATAATGTTGCTTCAGGTGTGTTTCTAAGCCAACACAAATATACTCAGATCCTGATTTCTTTGGCTGGTCTTCAAGATTCCTCCTCCGTAGATACTCCATTGGAATTGAATGTGAAGTATCGTCGTGAGGAAGGCGATCTTCTTCCTGATCCAACTATATTTCGACAATTAGTTGGGAGTCTAAATTACCTTACTATTACTCGGCCTGATATCTCCTTTGCAGTTCAACAAGTTAGTCAATTCATGCAAGCTCCCCGTCATCTCCACTTGGTGGCTGCTCGTCGCATCATTCGGTATCTTCTAGGAACATCTACTCGTGGATTGTTCTTTCCAAGTGGTTCTCCTATTCTTCTTAATGCTTTTAGTGATTTTGATTGGGCGGGATGTCCTGATACTCGTCGTTTAGTCTCTAGTTGGTGCATGTTTCTTGGAGAGTCATTGATATCTTGGAAGAGTAAAAAGCAAGATCATGTGTCAAAATCTTCAACAGAGGCTGAATATCGATCCATGTCTATTGCTTTCTCCGAGGTTGTATGGCTTCGTGGATACTTGCTGAGATTGGATTTCCTCAATCTCATCTTACTCCTCTCCACGCTGACAATACAAGTGTTATTCAGATTGCTACTAATCCAGTTTTTCATGAGAGGACCAAACACATCGAAGTGGATTGTCATTATATCCGAGAAGCTGTAGATAAATGAGTCATTACTCTTCCACATGTGTCCAGTGATCTTCAAATAGCTGATGCGTTTACAAAATCCATGGCTCGGCAACACCATCAGTTTCTAGTAGGCAAATTGATGCTTCTTGATCCACCAGCATCAATTTGAGGGGGGATGTTAGCATGAGGGAAAACTAAATGATTGTATATATTAATGTAATTATATAGTGATATAAATTAGCATGATCATATACATTTGCTGTAGAATCAAAGGAATAAATATTGTGATAGAATAGTTGATTTGGAGGGATAGCAAGGCAGAAAATTGACACCTACGACATGGTAAGCTGGGAATTTGTGGAGGAAGCACTCGTAGGATATGGATTTCCTAAAATCTTTACACAGTTGGTAATGATATGTGTAACTTCACCATATTTTACCGTAAAAGTAAATGGTGAGGGACATGGAATTTTTGCTGGCAAGAGAGGTTTACGACAAGGGGATCCAATGTCTCCTCTCCTATTTGTCCTAGTAATGGAGTATTTGTCGAGGGTCTTAAAGTGCATGGGTGAATTACCTGACTTTCATTTTCATCCAATGTGTAAGCATCTCAAGTTGACTCATTTAATCTTTGCCGACGATCTAATGATCATTTGCAAAGGTGACACTAGTTCTGTGGCTAGAGTGATGGAAGCTTTAACTCATTTTAGTGAAGTAACGGGTTTGGTGGCCAATGTAGATAAAATCTAATCTGTTTGTAGCTGGAGTAGACGATAGAACTCGAGGACAATTGTTAGAAATGACTGAGTTCACTCTAGGACAACTTCCAATGAGATATCTTGGGCTTCCGTTGTCCTCCAAGAAGTGGAAGAGAGTGGATTGTCAACTTCTGATAGGAAAGATCACTAGCCGAATTAATATTGGCTATTCCAAACTTCTATCTTACGCCGGTAGAATTCAAGTTGTGACTGCTGTTTCGTTCTCTATACATAGTTTCTGGGGGTCTGTGTTCATCCTCCCCCAAAGTATTCTCAAGGAGGTTGATAGAATTTGTAGGAACTATATTTGGGGGAGTAATGAAGAGAAGAGGAAAGTGTCGCTAGTAGCCTGGGAGAAGATTTGTTGTCCAAAGAAGTTTGGAGGGTTGAATGTTAAGGGCTGCAGTAATTGGAATGTTGCATCAGTAGGCAAATTGTTATGGCAATTATCAGAAAAACAGGATACGTTGTGGGTAAAATGGGTACATGGGATCTATATAAGGAATGAAGATTCCATTTGGGAACATATTCCGCCTCTAGATTGCAGTTGGTACTGGAAAAAGTTAAATGCACCGAAGAACAACATGAGGAACTGGTACTTACAAGGGAGGTATAATCTAACTCACTCTGGCCAATATTCAATCTCTGCCAGCTACAATGCAATGCTGGGTGAATTGAACAGGCTAAGGATAGCTGATCTTATTTGGACTTCTGTAGCACAGCCAAGGCATCGAATGATAATGTGGTTAGCAGTACAAGGCAGGCTACTTACCAAGGAGAGGATGCTACGTTTGAACATTCCTGTTGATAATGAGATATGTTGTTTATGCCACAGCCAAGTGATGGAGACCCAGCTGCATCTCTTTGCCCACTGCACTTGGCTGGGATAAGTGAAAGTTGAATTTTTACCTTTGGCTAACATACAGGTGTATACAGGCGAGGTGCGACAAGTACTAGAAAGAATCAAGAGGAAGCATTGGAGGCAATTTTATAAAGAAGTGGTTGCAGCAGTTTGGAGTGCCATAGTTTACCACACTTGGAGGGCAAGAAACTGGAAGTTGTATTGAGGCACAATTGTGAAAAGTGAGATAGATAAAAACAGAATTTACAGAGAGAATGGCATTGTTCAGAGGATCTAAGAAGGCTCATAGAAGTAATAGTTTGATTCAACATTTTTTTATGTAACTAGTTTCTTGTCCAGTTGGAGGCTTAAAGACATAGAACCCTTCCTAGAAGGTGGAGATGGATTTAGGTGCTCTATAGATGTAATGGTCCTTTTGTTTGTTAATGGTATTTACAGTTTACCCAAAAAATAAAAAAAAATTGTAAATGTTAAGAGTAATTCTAATTGCTGCATTACAGGTTATTCGAAAGCATTGATCAAAACAAAGATAATGTCATTTCACGTTTGGAAATGAAACTAATATGCAATATTAAATTTGGTCCTGCACCTTCGGATGCTGATGAAACGGTCGAAAGAATCATCAAACAATTTGATGCGAGTGGAGACGAGATGATCAGTGTGGAGGAATTTGTTACTAGATTCTCGCGATGTCTACACAATGTAGGACATCATTCTCATTTTTCACCGGAATCCAAAGAAGATATCACCAAGCAAGAAAAAAGATGAATGCATGTTGTTTCAGAGTCTTTAATCCATGAATATGTCCAACAATGTATGAATAACCAGTATAAGAACTTATACAGGCAAACCTCTCTGTAACAGAGTCGTTTGTCGGGATATCTTTTGGCTGCTATAACGAAATGCTGTTATGGAAACCTATAATAATATAAGGCATAAAGACATATACAAACACTCAAACTTGGCCTCAGCCGGAAAGTAAACAGTCCTACTTTGAATATGCACATCTAGACATCACAACTTGTCTCCAACTATGTCAGTTGAACACTCCAACTTACAAAATGATTATCTATCCACCTCTAATATTTATGCGCCACATCAGCGTCAGGTGTCCAGTAGACACAATGCCGACGTGTTGGAGTGTTTAGTTGTCAATTGAGACCAAGTTAAGGTGTTTAGATGTGCAGTATTCACAAACTTTGGGAATGCTTACTTGTCAGCTGAGGCCAAGTTTGAGTGTTTGCTTATGTATTATGCCATAAAACATGGCCATTATAGTGAAATGTTGTTATAGAACGGTTTGACTTCATAATGAAATGATTTGTGTTATGCAGAAGAATTGGGAAATGACAGAAAGGCTGCTGTAGAAGGAGACTGATAGATCTGCAATTGCATGGATAAAGGCCATACTTCTTCTGGTTATTGGAATAGTAATATTAGGACTACTAGCTGAACCTCTCATCAAGAGCGTAGGGAGTTTCTCCGGAGCGATATACGTACCTTCATTTTTTCATCTTGTTAATCTTAGTTCCTTTGTCTACAAATGCAAGACTAGCAATCTCAATCATCAACGAAGCAAGTCGAGAAAGACAGAACTAATTCATTGACATTATCAGAGGTATGTTGAACTGTTCTGTGTTCTCTCCCCTTCTTGCTTTAGTTTGTTGACGTCTGTAGATATAGGTAGTGAAACCGAGATCAAAAAGCAGAGAACGTCAACAAGAATATTATAAATGCTAAAGTCCTTTAGTCTCACCCGAGAGGGTACATAATCGAATAGCTGAAGGCATTTTGGGGCTGAATCAGTTAAAAAAAATGCCAATTGACTACTAAAGGCTAAATGCGGCAAAGCTTCTGCTGGAGGAGCCAATCTCAGAAAATCTCCATTGAGACCTTTAATTTCTCTTACTAAACTCGATGGTTCGGACTCAGACAAAGCTCTCGACTTTGACACAACCTCTTTGTAAAAATGCCAAATGACTATTTGTCAGGCTCACGAGTAGTGAAATTAAGCGATTTTAAGGTAAGATATAGAACCATTTCCATATTTGGTTTATTCTTTCCTTGGAGAAAAAATTTGAAGGTCTATAAATTGAAGATTTCTATTCTCATAACATAACACAATAACTTTCACAATATAGACATTTAAGAGTTTAGTTTATGGGAGATCTATTCTCTCAATAGTTTTAATAGTTTTCTCTTATATTAGTTTTCATATAATAATATTATATTTTTAGTATAAGTTTTTTTTTATCTGATTTATTAACCATATGATATGCAATTGTAAGCTTCCGCATAACGCCCTAATCACTTTTAAACCCAAGCTCTTCCACATTGACTGAGCACTTGTTGCTGCTGGAAGTGGATTCGTTTAGGGACAAAAGAGCACTTTTTGCAACGAAATAAAGGTGCGGACGGGTATTCTAGAGAACGGCTAGGGCCTCCTCACGCCGGCCATCTATATTACAACATCAACAAACCAAAATATAGCTATTCTGAAAAATCAACATCAAATCTGTGAGCATACACAACTAAGAAGCAGTGTAGCATTCTCTCTTTGGTGAGTGAGTTCCAATTCATCCCCAGAGAGCCTGATCTAGGATTTGATTATTATGTGCTCGAGTTCCCAATTTTACCATATTCCATTTGATTTACCGGTTCGAAATTTGTTTATTTAAGGTCGCCATTTAATGTTGAAGAAAATGTTCAAAATAACTAAAAACAGTTGGACATGTCACAAACCAATGCATGCTTAAGTTCCCTTGAAATTGCCTCAAAATTTTTGGTGTTCAATGACCTTTTTCTTTCTTCTTCCTTTGTCACTATTTTTTCCTTTGTATTAAACCTAGAAAAAAGTCTACATACTTTAGAGCTCTCCAATATAAATTGAACGTTCCACATAGATTTCATGTCATTTGATGCTCATTTTTATTTCATTTCCTTTTTACTGTTTCAAATTTGAATCAAAACTAAAAATTAATGGATTCTTCTGTTTATTAAGTAACTTTCTCCATACCAATCTGTCGGTGCGTCACATAATGGCACTACAAGTTAGAGCAAAATTATTTTTATATGATTGGATTCAAATACACAATGAGAAAACGTATAATTTATGTTAAGAATTCATCACCAACTTAGAACCTGTTTGAATTGTTGTTGAGAGGCCAAAAACATTTATTTTGAAAGATTAAGACGTTTGGCAAATAAGTAAAACTAGTTTTAAATGGAAGCACAAACAATTTTCTGCGGTTGGAAAAAAGCTAAAAATCTCTGCTTCTTAAAAAAAGTAGAAGCAAGCAAAAAAAAAAAATTATTCAAGACCAAATATATCTCTTCCATATATATATATTTACCAATATATGTCTTATTAATTAATTAACATATCTCATATGTTTGGTTAAGTTTGATTTCATATTTTATATTTTCTTTTTATATAACAAAATTTTATTTTATTTTACATTTATATATTATTATTTTATATTTTATATATTATTTTGCAGGATTAGAAAAAAAAGGTAATATTGATTGAAAATATGAATATGTACATTTTAATTTAATTAAAGTTTTTATAGTAGATATTTAAATAGTTTCTCTCTATAAAATAATCTTAATATTAAAAATATATTGATACTTGTCATTTTCATAATTTGACCCTCAAAAGCACTTTTTAAAAAAGATTAGTCAAGCAAAATATACTTATCAAAAGCACTTTTCAAATGAATTAGTCAAACACAAATTATTTTTATTTTCAATAATACTTTTTAAAAGAGCTTCTAGAAATAAACAGTTTTTAGTAGCAATGTCAAACAAACTCTTAATTAATATCTAAAATATTTCATGAAGACCTAATAGTTAAAGAATTGTAGAGAACTGAGAGTAGGAGTGTTCACTGTTTATTTGGGTATGGTTTTAGATTTTTAAAAACAAATAGTACTTGGTTTGGTTTTGATTTTTTTTTAAAATCGAAGAAATAACCGAATTGGAAAAATATATACATATATTATATATACATATATTTTATTATTATTCATACATAATATATCATTTTTACAAATAATTTTAAGGATCTAATTATATATGTTTTCATCAAATTTTATTTTTTAATTTATTTATATGAAAGCAAAAATGTACGAGACGAAAACAATCATTTTATTAGTTTCATGTATATGGGTGTCTGATAATTCTTGGTGGGACTAAAAATGTCACTATCTCTTCCTTCTAGACTAAAATGGTGAATTTTGAAGTTTATACACGGTAAATATAGTGACTTGAAGTTCTCTAATGTAAGTTGTCCTAAGTATTTTTTGTTTTGAATGGATTGTTATCACTTTTTTCCTGTTTTAAATGAATACTTACTTTTATTTTCGTGTATGATTAATAAATGTATAATTAAACCAAAACAAACCGAAATTTCCTGTTCTAAGTGCTCTTGAATTAGGTCTCTTTCAAGATGGACAGAGGGGCGGCTAGTGTTTAATATACTAGTCAAAAGAACTCAATAATTTTTGTATAATTTTGGATATATATATATATATATATATATATATTTATATGGACAGAGGGGCGGCTAGTGTTTAATATACTAGTCAAAAGAACTCAAAAATTTTTGTATAATTTTGGATATATATATATATATATATATATATATATATATAAAGAAATTTATCAAATATTCGATTGTAAATCTATTATAGTAATTGAAATCGTTATAGGCTTAGTTGCTCATACCCGGGTGTAATTATCTGATACAGTAATTTTAGCTTATCCCGATCATCTTATTAAATATTGAAAAATCACACCGTTGAATTATTTAACAAAAGAGTAAAATATGAGTAAAGAAAATTAACATGAAATCAAAAGGCTAATACATGGTAAATAGAGCCGTCAATATGGGTTAGGTCTATTGGGCTGGCCTGGCATAACCTGTGATTTGATAGGATTGGACTAAGATTTTCGGAGCCCATTTAAGAAAAGAGTTTTTTAGCCCGTCTGAATAAGCTTGCTGATTTGTGAGACTTGAGAAATATGGGTAGGGTCAGGCTGTCGGCCAAATAAAAATTAATTAAAAATAAAAATAAAATAGAGTATTAAAAATAACAAGAGTCCAAACTCAAAATTTATTTAAAATTTTAAATACAAATTATATTTATAAAATATGTACTACGTAAAATAAAAATTCCCTAAAATTTGAACCCAATCCATTTTTTTGCCCATTTGAACCCAATCCATTTGAGCCCAAAGTAAACTTGGGCGGGTCAAGACCCAACCCGATTTTCATTTCAACCCATTTTAATATCTTCAATTTCAACTCAACTCGTCCATTTGACACCCCTAGTGTAATTATGTAATTTTCCCATTAAAATGGAACAAAAAGAGACACGGGCCCAATAATGACCCGACTCCAACAAAAACAAAACAAAAGACACTAGAAATATAGAGGTTTAAAAAAAAAGTTCAATATGTAGAGCGATTTATGTGTTAATTGATTTATGTATCAAATTATCATTCAAACAAATTGGCTAAAAGGAGAGAAAGAGACACGATAGGCAGCTAGTAAGTTCAAGTTGCAGTTTATTAGTATAAAGTTGATAATACATGTGATGATACAATGGAAGCTGAATAATAATAATATTTGCTATCCGTCGACATGTCTGCTTCAAGTCAAGAATAATTGAATACTTTCACCATTTTAATTTGTTTGTTTTACTTTTCTTTTTAATCCGCTACCCATATACTCCCTCCGTCCCATTTTATGTGATATAGTTTGACTCGGCACGAAGTTTAAGAAAGAAAGGAAGACTTTTAAAACTTGTTGTCCAAAATGAATGATAGAAATTTGTGTGGCTGTAAATCATTTCATTAAGGGTAAAACAGACATTTTATAATAAAATTGTTACTTAATATAGAAATGTGTCATTCTTTTTTGGACTGACTAAAAATGAAAATAAGTCATATAAATTGGGACAGAGGGAGTAATAAATTAATAATAATAATTGATAGAATCATTGACAAGTCATAAATGGACGAAAATTTTCATAATTGAAAGTGAGAGGGCAACAACTTGGTTATTTGTGGACCAAATAATTTGTACTGTTATTGCTCTTCTTTACAACTCGTGCTATGAATCAATACTAATATAATTGATCTTTGTACAACTCCATAATTCATTGCCCTAACCAAATGGCTACCATTATTATCTCTATTATTTTCATCCTTCAATTATTTTTGCAAAATTGTCTAGTCCTTGCTAGTCCAATTCTTGGCCAAAGTAGACAAGCTTTGGAGATAATCATCGGCGGAGGTGGTGGAGTACCTCCACCGGATAATCAAGATTGTCCACCACCTCCTCCGCCACCAGAACCTCCTTGCCCTCCGCCACCATCGCCACCATTGCTCCTCTTTGAAAGTAAACGTATCGAGATTGCCTATCATGTCATCCAAAAGTTAAAGTCCAAAATCAAATGTGACCCTTTACATATTACAAAAACATGGATTGGCTCTGATGTTTGTAACAAGTACAAAGGTTTTCGTTGTGCCACGGTTCCTGACTTAAAGGTAAAAGCACTAGCTGCTGTGGACTTCAATCAGTACCAATTTGATGGCCCTGACCTTACTATTGACGGCTTTCTTGATGAATTACCAGACATAACAATCTTCCACGCAAATACCAACAATTTTAAAGGTACAATCCCCAAGAAAATCGCGAATCTTCGTTATCTCTATGAGCTAGACCTTAGCAACAACAAATATAATGGTGAATTCCCAAATAACATTGTTTTTGGTGCCAAGAAATTGTATTTCTTGGACCTTAGGTTCAATTCATTTTCCGGGTTGGTTCCCCCTGAAGTTTTCCTGTTAAATCTCGATGTTCTGTTCATCAACAACAACAATTTAATCCAAAAACTTCCTGATAACTTGGGATCAACTCCAGTTCTTTACTTAACTTTAGCCAACAACAAATTCACCGGTCCAATTCCTCGTAGCATTGGTCAAGCTTGTAAATCATTACGCGAAGTTCTGTTCTTGAACAACCAGCTCACTGGATGCTTGCCTTATGAAATTGGGCTTTTAAGTAAAGCCACAGTTTTCGATGCGAGCAAAAATCAGTTAACAGGAAAAATACCTCATTCATTTGGATGTTTAGCTAAGATGGAGATACTTAACTTGGCACAAAATCAGTTCTACGGAGCTGTGCCTGAACTCGTGTGCAAACTCTGCAATTTGAAAAATTTGATGCTGAGTTACAATTACTTCACTGAAGTTGGGCCGGAATGCAAGAAGTTAATTCAGAAAAAGGTTCTTGATGTGAAAATGAACTGCATTCCAGGCTTGCCAATGCAAAGATCAGCAGAGGAATGTGCTGCATTTTTCTGTAAGCCAAGATCATGTCCTGATGAAAAGTCAATGGGATTTGTTCCTTGTAGCATTGGCAGTTCTGAGCAGAATCAACAGAACGCAAGTGAGACCGCGCCAGCGCCAAGAACTTACAGTGTTTTGAAACCGCATTCGTTGTAAATGCTCTGTTTTTTCCATGTTTGCAGATTGAACTATGGCAGCAGGAAATGTAAATTTGCCAAGTTTAACTTCCTTATCTTCGTTGATGCATGTTATGTTTGTTAATTATAATAAAATAATTACGTATGTTCCGTTTGGATAAGATGATCACACTGTTCAATAGAATTAGAGATGGTAGGTTGTGTAGCACAATGGCTCAACTAATGCATCTATGGTTTTGGATAGCAATTATTGATAAATTAAATTTTGATCAGTTTTATTAGTTTATCTTAATTCGTGTATTTTAAATTATAATAGGATGCGACCGACGGATTGAACTGAAATTGAGAAAATTGAAATAGGCAAATTATTACAATTGATATTCATTTGTTATATTGTCAAACGGACGGACTGAATTGAAATTGAGAAAATTGAAATAGGCAAGTTATTGACTTGTCCAAACTTATTTGGGCTAAATTAAGTTGCACTGAAAACTATGTATGCCAAGGGTTAACAAATAAAATTTACTAACTCCATTTAAAAAAGAATGGTTTGGTTTTTTTTTCAGCCTGTTTTAAAAAAAAATGACCCATTTTTTTTTGACAATATTTTAACTTCAACTTTCCAAATGACATGTTTAAGGCGATAAGATTAAAAGACATTTTGATATATTTGACGTAACTTTAATTTAGAACCACAAAAATTAAAAAGTCTTCTTTATTTTCATAAACTCTGTTCCAAGTTAAACTAGGCCGTTCTTTTTGAAACTGTGAGATTATATCTTAAAAATTCTGACTCTCAGCAATATTATGTAAGAGTAAAATAAAACTGAGTCGATAATCAATAATATTTGAGCCACATTTAACGCGCCTATTAATTTGAAAGATGACAGAGACAATAAATATCGACCTGACTCAAAGTAATTTTTTCAGAATATCGTACTACAAGCTGGCATTTGATAAAGTTGTTATCCTTTTTAACAAATCAATAATTCAGAAAATAAATTCTGGAAATGACTAATTAAGACTTGTTGATTTGAATTTGGGCCTTGGAGGAACAGCCCTGACAGCATTTTCAATTCAGAATTAACTCATAATGATATAATTTGAGTATTTCACAATTTGCATCTCTAATATTATATATGTTTTTTGTAAAATCATGAGTCACTTTTTAAAAAAAATATTATTTACAAGGCTAAAATAGAAATACAATAACTAATATTTTCCTAAAATTTACTTTATCTACATGTAATCACATTTAATAGTAAAAGGTAATTGGGGTAAAATAATGCTAATTTATCTTAAAATAGGCTAAGATTTACCTAATGACTATTTTTTTCTCTATAAATTTTTATAATCATCATATCATATATTACTAAAAGTGGGAAGCTCCAAAGTGTAAAGTTGAAATATTATTTTACCCCTATACTAAAAACTTTTTTTAAAAATCATATATTATTAGTTATTATATATTAAATATAAATATTATGGGATGCTAAAAATTTACTTTCTTTTTTAATGAAATAGTAAAATGCCTGAAGAACTTGAAAAGTCAGTTTATATATTAAATATAAATATTATGGGATGCTAGAAATCTACTTTTTTTTTTAATGAAGTAGTAAAATGCATGAGGAATTTGAAAAGTCAGATTTTCATTAAAAACGTAGTAGTAGTAATAATAATAATAATAATAATAATAATAATAATAATAATAATAACAATAATATCATCATATATTTTATTAAAAGTGGGAAGAAATTTAGGAAAAAGTTAAATTGTTGTTTTTCCCCAATATTAAATTAAAATGTTATAAAATATATAATTTATTAAATATTCTATCATTAATTAAGAATATCATATTAAGTTTTACAATAATATAATTAATATGTATTTGAGTATACATACGGATGGATTAATTTCCTTGGTACTGCCACTTATTTCAATACTCTAGAATGACTTATCATTTTCCCATACCAATTCAATGTTTTAAAGTTCTTTTCAACTTCTAACAGTAAGCTTTCATAATTTTATAAATAGTCAGATCAGTGAATCATGCTAGACTAGATTCATTGATGTTCTCCCTCTCCTCTTCTTCTTTTAAATTCATTTCAAAGTGACTGGTAAGGATTCCATTGATATTTCTCATATGTCGGCTTTCTTAATTATCTGTTAACTTATTATTATGCTTGATTATGAATTAGTCTTGGGTTGCTAATAATTCTATCACGGCATATAAGGGTGTCAAAAATAAACTCAAACATAGATAACCCGCCCAAAATTTTAAGGGTTGGGCTCAAGATAATTTGAATTTGTTCAATCTCAACCCATTCAAGTCTAACCCATTTTAAAAGAATCCTCAATTGAGCCAAATTCAATCTTCAATTTCAACCCGTTTTAAACTCTTTACTAAGATATGTTCCTATATTAAAAGTATGAATTATTATCTATTTAACATCTTTTAGAATTTATCTATCCATTTGTTACTTTTTTAAAAAAAAATCTTGAGCTGAAATTCGAATTGTGATTATAAAAGTTAAATATCACTAAGTTAAAATTATTGAGATTAATCGGGTCAAATTGGCGGGTCAAGACCCAACCTGTTTTTTAGCCCATTTGAATCCAACTCATTTGAGCCCAAAGTAAACTTGGGTCAAGACCCAATCCGATTTCTATTTCAACCCATTTTAATATCTCTAATTCCAACCCAACCCCCCATTTGACACCCCTAACGGCATACATAGTTTCTTCCTTTATAAATTGAGCATAAAATGTTAGTCCACTAGACTTTCTTATGAAAATTTTAATTTATCGGTTATTCTTTTTTATTCAGATTAATATATTGCTTTGTGTAACCTTTTTCATTTTGTATGCATATGATGACATGTATATTTTATTGTTTTATTTTAAGTTAATTGGATTGATATTATACATATTTCTATACATAAATTAGGCCTATATAAATTTTATATAATAATAAAGGTCAAACGTGCGAGGCACGTTTTCAGAACTAGTATATTATAAGAGGAACCATCTACTGCTTTGCATAATTTGGTGGCTCTTCATTTAATAAAATGTGTATTTATTGCCTACTTATCATGGGCCCATTTAACTTTCTGATTATTACGTGGCTGCTTCGGAGATATTACTAGGATTAAATTTTGGAGAAATTATTATTTTATTATATTTAGGGTGTGTTTGGTATGAAGAAAAATTTCCAATTTTCTCATGTTTGGTTGGGTAAAATGTATTTTTCAAATCAACTCATTTTCCTTAAATTTAAGGAAAATGACTTCCCTTCAAAAATTAAGGAAAACATTTTTCAAAATTCTCCTCCAACTTCAAATTACAATTTTTGGGAAAAGGAATAAATTCTCCCTCCAACTTGTACCAAAAAGACATGCTTCAACTATTATGACGACATATTACATACCTATTCTTGTTCAAAGTGTAATTAATACCACCCCAAAATTGACGTGGAAATAAAATTAAAAATTAAATAAATTAGGCGCATTTGAGTTAAAAATAAAGTCAAAAAAGTAATTTTTTAACCCCTACCCCCTGTTTTCTCCTTTTTCATGTTCATTTCTCTTATTTTTCTTTTCATTTTTTTCTTAGCAAAATTTTACAATTTGTCACTCAATTTAATTCTTTTAAATCACAATTCTACAATTCTTCACTCAATTTCATCATTATACCTAGAAAAAGTAATATTTTAATTCAAATTTCATAATGATTCTAGGAATTCAAGACTTTGTTCTCCTCATCTTTCCACTTTCACCTTCAAATTTTCAGCAAAATCCCTAAAACCCTCAGATATATTTGTTGCCTATAGACATTCATATACATACATCCACTTGCCTTATTTAGTTAAAATTGATTTCTTTTCATTTGGGTATTCATATATATGTGCATATTCACACGCCCACTTGTCTTATTTGTTGGTTGTTCGGATTTGGAAGCACAAAGCTTACTGAAATGGCTTGGATCTGAACAACGAAGCTCATTGAAATGTCATTAAAGTCATGATTGAAGCTTTGAGCTCGTCGAAACACCTTCAACATAAACTAAAAGAAAAAAATTGAAAAGGGTAAGGGAAAGGGGTTTGATTTGGTGTTTGTCAATTACTGATTTGAAGTTTTGGGTGGATGTTTGTGATGACTTAGGTAGCTGTTTGGTGGTTGTTCTTTGTCGAAGATGGGTTGGTTGTTGGGAAAGATGTGTTAGGACCGAAATAAGCAGGTGTAATGCGGAAGCTAACAAAACAAACCTCGAAAGACCACGAGTAAGAAGACAAACGAGAAACACACCAAAAGAGACAAATTTAATGTGGTTCGGCCAATCGACCTACGTCCACAAAGGAGATGAGCAATCCACTACAAATATGAGAGTACAAAATATAGAGAGAAACAACCTCAACCATTTCACTCGGAATACAAGGAGGTACACAAAATTCTCCTCCATAATCGAAACTCTCAAAACCCTAGGACTACATTGTGAATCCTAATTATGTTAGAAGGAACAAACCTATATTTATAGAGTCCTAAAACCTTTCCTACAAGAAAATGACTAGTCAAAATATTAAAACCTTTTCCTAAAAGGAAAACTTATTTATGGTAAGAAATCAGGGCAAATAAACCCCAACAAATCTCCCCCTTGGCCTGAATTTCTGACAAAATAAATTTATCCACCTTCTTCATATAATCTTTAGGATCTTGCATCTCTTATCCATAATCTCCTCCATCAAATCTACGTCTCGACACAGAGAACCTCTCTGAAACAGTTTCTCCAACAAAATCTTCATTACTGTAAAAAAGGTTGCGACTAGAACTACACCCGCCAAGATGAACACCCATCTCTAACATGGTTCCATCATTGAATCATGACTCTGATACCACTTGTTGTGACGAAAAGATGAAAACGAAAATCTAAAATAAAGAACACCAAGTTTAATGTGGAAAAATCCTTCAAAACGAAGGTAACCACCACGGGATCGACAAGATCCGAATTGCTTCACTATAACAATAAGGGAGTTACAATTTTTTTTCTAATGGCTACACAACATGTGCCAAAAGAAAACAAATAATAGCTACACCAACAAAAGATAAATAGAAAGAAACACCATCCAAACCCAGTTGCAGTTCGGGACCTAAAACAGGATCTAGCTGAATT